GCTTTCACCAACGCCAGCCTGGCACCCGAATTAATACTGGAACCCACCCCACCTCACTCCCAGGCCCTGCACCTCCCCTGCTCTGCAGTCTTCTTTGGTTGTCTTCATAGCACTTATTATCATTGTCATGCTATATAATTTTCCTCTTTATCATGTTTATTGATATTATTTGTCTTCTTGGAGTATAAGCTCCCCAAGGTAGAGGATCTTTTCTGTATCCAACGGAGCATCCCAAGCTCCCAGGAGAGGCCACATCGGCTAACTAAATGAGTAAATCAGAGAGCAACACCAGCCTTGCAGACGGAGGAGATTATACTTTCAGTTCCTCAGGAAAGAACTTGAAATATCTCATTAAAGATTTCTGTTTTCCAAAGGACCTTGTCTACACTGTGCCCCTAAGGGAGACTCCACCACTTTTCCCAATTTCTCTCTTCCCCAGCACAGTTCCCAGGATCACCCACTCCCCTCTCCCCTCACCCTTTTCCCAACCCCTGTCCCCTGCACATACCTGCTCAAAACACCCTGGTGCAGAGTGCAGACCTTCCCATTCAACAGAGTGCAGACCTTCCCATTACTCTGTCTCACCCTCCTTAGGAGGTAGGGCAAAGACCAGAAGTGTGGTCATCAGAGTGCACCCCTGCATTTTCCCTCTCCTGTCTCACCTTGTATCTTTTGCCTCAATTCTTTTATCCATAGTTGATACCCAAAGATACGTGCTCTCCCAACAGGTACTTGTGGCAGCTTCCTTGTCCTTGAATCCAGCAACCTCATAAAAGGCCAGAGCAAGAGTGGTTCGCGGTCATGGCATCAGGCAGCATGTGGCCTGCTAGCTGACAGGTCCTCAGGCTGGGCCAGGCAAGGTGCTCTGTGGGGTTGGCTTCTCCTCCCAGGTAGGATTGAAGCTGAGCTTCAGGCTTTCAGCAAAGCTCAAAGCCACCCAGTCAGAAGCTGGCGGGTCATTTCTGAACAGGTCTCTAAAACTGAACAACCAAGTTTGTGACAGCATTTGCCAGTAGATACACTGCCCACAAGCCACAGACCTAGAGGACCAACAGAGCCAGAGCAACCATAGGACATCTGTAGTGATTTCAGGTGGGACTGCTGTTTCAGCCGTCTGTTATCAGAGACATGGATATGGAGGGGAGCTGGTCATCCTCTTTGGGAGCTGCCATGTTCTGAAGTCCAGAAATTCATAAGTGTCCCCATCATCAGACACTTACACTAGCATTTTAGGCAGCATGACTTTGTCTACTGCCATTCTTGCAGTAGAATGAGACAGTTGTTACATGTATGAATGGAAGTCAACTTTGGAGGTGACTCATCTTTAGTTAAAAAATCTTCGTCCAATGATGGTCAGTCAACTATACGCTCCATGAAGGTGAGGATTTTTTGGTGTGTTTTCTTCACTGCAGAATTCTGAAGCTAGAACATAGTGGATGGTACATATTCATTCAATGAATGAATAAATTTTCCATTGATCAATATGCCATTGATTTCAAGTCCAACATATGCCTTTTAGAATCACAGATGATAATGGAAATGGTTTTGAGATTGTAGAGCATGACTTCTCAGGGAATCTGCTTGGTTGTCTCAAGGGCTAGCTCAAAAGCCTGTTGGAAGGTGATTGTTATAAGACATTGATATTTATGGTAGAAAAATCTCTCTGGAAACTTGTTAAGAGCTCTCTCAGGGTGTTTCCCAAAAAACCTAGAATGGACGTGGAATGCCATCTCATCTGGATCCAATTCACTCGAAAGACACACGTTTGTCTTTTGTTTAGAGAGAAACATAAAGACAAGTTTGAAGTTTTACTCAAACCTGGCACCCTTGAACTAGGCACCTATGAGTTAACTACTCCATTGCCCACATACTGAGAACTGGGCTGGGGGGGAGCATGGTGTTTGAGGATTGGGCCTGGAACCCAGACTCAGGACTTGGGGGTGTTTTTCACCTTTTCCTAGCTAAGTAGCTTTAGAACACTTTGCTGTCTCGACCTCATGATACCCTAGTTCCTCCATTTGTAACCTGCCATCCTCCCCCTAGGACTTTGGAATCAGAATGCCTGCCTATCTACTTCATAAGGCCGTTAGAAATTCCAAATGACATGTGTTTGTAGCACTCTGTGCATTGAAAGGTTTCATACAAGTAAAGTGGACATCCTGAATACAGGTTAAGAAAAAAATCAAACAGAAGGTGACTGTTCCAGTTATTTTAATTTTACAAAAGTAATATTAAGTACTGAAAATGCATACTTTCAAGGAAAGAATAAGAAGAAAGAAACAATGTATAGCATCCTGAAACCAAGGACAGCCATACCTTCCCATGAAGTCCCACACAAAGGAAGTTAGTTTCTGCTGAATCAGCCAAGATAGGGAACGTCAATAATCAAAGCAATGCAAGCAGTGCTGAGTTTTAAATTTGATCCAGATTTGAGATGTCTGTACACAAGAAATGGTTTTACTGGGGTCAAATGTGCAGGGCCTGAAAGATAAAATCGACATGTGTCGACCTCTGCAATGTTGAACGTTCAGCCCCATTTCCTGAGGCATCATCAGAGCCCTAGGTGGGGGATGCGATAATTCTTGTGAGGCATTGCAGCTGCTGACATGCAGACATATGGCAGTTTGCACTCTCTAGTAGGATACAGACACAATCTTACTATAGGATAAACACTTAGTTCTTTAAAATGTTCTCTTAGCCCTAGAGAGGGGATATTGTGTTGACTAACTGGTAAAATCTTGGTGTTTTGGCTTTTCATTTTATATCTGGTTTCCTGTGTTCCCTTCAGGAGTGTGTTTTTGTAGCTATTAAGAGTGCAGTCCTGGACTGAACCCGCTAATACGTTGCACACCAAATGTGTTTAATATTTTGGCAGTTGAACTCTGTAGATGTCATTTACGTTGGTATTGAAATTATAGGATATAATGAAAAACCAGACTTCTGCAGTTGACATTGTAATATGGTGTTGACATCTTTACTTCAAGTAGCATCCTAAGGAACTTAACAATCCACAAGTTGAAATGCTGATTTCTGTGATAGCATTGGAAAATAATTCATTCATTATATTTGTTAATACATGTATTTTTTTTTTTTTTTTTTTTGCTTTGTGGCCATGCATTGCTCTATTAGAGATTTAGGTGATTTTTTTCTATCTAATATTGAGAATCTCCCAAGAGTCAGCCGCTCAGCTGGGTCTCAGGAACGTGGTGGGAAACAGAACAGTCACAGGCCTCACTGCCTAGAGCTTTTAGGCTGCATTTCCTGTATGCGTATGTCTGAGTTAAAATGCTCCATATTTTTTGGTTCCCCTTAGTTGACACTGTTCCTCTCACCAAGGAGTGAGTGGAACCACAGTCAGTTCAGGGAATGCTAACAGTGACCAGGCAACCGATGGGATGGTATGCACATCAACACATACTAACTTTGGTGGAAGGGAGAGAGGGAGAAGGGGAGGGAGAGGAGAGGGTAAGTGCAAGAGTGAGGGTGAGGGCTAGCACAGTGAGG